ATAAATGACAAAACCAGAAAGGAAAATTTGCATCCCACTTCCATTGCAATTGAGACTCACTCTTCTCCAATTAGTGAGTAAAAAGGAAGCTGGTTAGCAAAACTTTGTTGAAATTTAAAAATGTTCATATATTCACTGAAAAACATCTCGTTTGCCATCAAAATGTTCATAGACAGACACTAATGTACTACAGAGCTTTGGTATTGGATGTACCACTTGCAGCTGATCTATTTGCTAGCTGCAAACTATAACCTTCAGCAACAAAACTATTTGGAAAGACCATGGGTTATGTGGAACCAGATGAAACATAGCATCATTTTAAAAGCACCTGAGGGGTAAGCAAATGTAGCTATGTTTTACAGTAATTTTAGTTAAAAACGAGACGTAAATTTTTCAGAAAATTGTTAACAATATCTACTATTCATCATGGCTACAACAGAAACACTGCATAGGACAACATCTACCAGTTGTGAACAAATAATGGCTTCCAGTGTAAGTATAAAAGAAATAAGAGTGATAATTTTGGGTACATCGTGTGATAACTGGTGATAAAATGCAAATATTTATAAGGATGACTATGAAATTTAATTACTGTAGACAGTTATCTTGCCTCAATCTGCATGAAAACTCCCTAACAGAAATCCAGATTGCTGCTATGTTTAAAGGTTGCTTCTGCTGCCACTAATCCATTGCAGCAAAATAAAATATATAGTCAAATACCTTCGTCCCCCCTAATAAAACATATATTTAAAGAATTTTCAATCTACTCTTTAAGTATAATATAAGCCCATTTTGTATGACCCCTGTATCCAGAAGCCCACCGCCTGATTCTGAGAGCTGCTTCTGTTTGCAAGGAGTGGGACACCTAAATTTATCTGTTTATGCATTAGGTGTCCACTTATGAGCTTGTTGTGAGAGTCGGTTGTCTACCAGAGGCACTTGGTGTCATCGTAGTGACAAGGGGTATTCCTTCCCCACCTCTAGCTCCAGACAGACGCAGCTCTCCTGCCAGTTTTGTGTTGCATCTGGCAGCCCTGGCAGATTAACTGCCAAGTTAGCTGGCAGACTGGATTTACCAGAGCTCCACAGACTACAGTTGAATTTCAGACATCTGGCTCACATGCAGACACTCAAATTCAAGAGTCCTAATTCTGAGCTGAATCCTGTGATCTAAAAGATACAGTATTATGTTTATTGTTTGTAAACATGTTTTAATAAGGAGCTGATGTATTCTGTAGGTATCCTCCAGCTTGACACAATTTAAAACCAAGACTTCATATTCAGAAGAATAGTTAATAAAATTGATTTGATTAATTCTACTCCTATAACATTGTTATTAAACCTGTAGTAAACATAAGGATTCCCTTGATAATTTGATGTATATTTTATATTACAATTTACAGAGAGAATTGACTTCAAAAATATTACAAATTGCTAGCACATTTAAATATATTACATAAAATCAAAATAATTTCTGTGCAGCATTTATGTGAAAAGGAGATAAACTACACTATTCACTATTGCCTTCACAAAATCAAAACAATGTGTTGGCGAGCATTCTTGTTTCTGAAAAATTCAGCTGAACCAACGACAGTGACTTATGCCATATCAATAGTCACTATTGGAAGTGCAGATCAAAGCCCTTCTCTATTACCCTTCTATGATTAGCTACAAAAGCTAAGTTCCCCCTTAAGATGGCAACTGTCCATCTCAATTGCCCCTGCAGTTTAAAGTCAGTGTATGTTACCATTTCCTACAAAATATGAAGTGCTTTGTGAGATGGTGTTGGCCACTAGAGCTGAAAACAGCCTTGCCAGAGTTCCAGATGTTTTCACTCCCTTTGATATGTACGTAATATGCTACAAAGACTGTTAAATGAGAGCTTATTTATCATCTAATGATGGAAATCTGTAGTCTCTCTCTCTATTTTTCTCTTTTACAAAAGGATATTTCCAATAGGTACTCATAAGTGTCTGCAGTTTCTCACTGTTGCTCTGTGTCAGAGCCACAGCCACAAAATTTCAGAGAAAGGTGCTACCTTAACATACACATTTCTACTATTTTTTATCCCTGAATCTGAAACTTGCTATATACCTAATCATACACTCATTTAATCAGAGGTCTAATTCGCTGTCATCATGTTATGTTTGGATATAGTCCTGAATATGTAGTACACTCTTACAATCAGCATGAGAAAATGTGTATGAAAGAAAATACGAATTCTCTTGGGAGTACAGACACTGAGTGACAGGAATACAGAAATTATTGAAAAATATATATTCAATTCCCTTGGAAACTTGGCCCATTTATTCTCATATACAGTACAATAGAATTTTAAAGCTCTTTGGTGCCTGTGCATTTGCTGTGGAATCTAGTATAAAATCAGGCTTCCGTATCACAGTTGTCTAATTAATTTTGTCTCATTTAACTAACTAATCGTGTGAAAATTATCTGAACTCTTGTTCAAATGCATTAACTGTTTGAAAATAATCCACTCATTCCTTCCACCTCTCTTCCCATCTAGCTCTTTTCTCATTATTATTTAATTGAATTTCCATTTTTCAGCTTTAACAGTTGCTCACAGAAAACTGGAATAACAGTATTCAGATTGTGTTAATGGTCATGTTATGCTTGGTTGATTAAATGTCCTTCTAAATGTTTTTAGTATCACATAGACACCAAGTTTGTACAGTATTTTTAAGGAATTGAAGCAAGAAAGGCTATTTCAATTTAATTTCATTGTGTATCTTTTTACTCCTTACTGTCAATACAAGTTTCATTATTTTTTTTAAAACTCCAGATAACAAGGCAATGCTCTAAAGACATGGTCCCATGCCCAGTGAAGTGAACTTGGATTTAATTAGGTCATGAATAGGAGGAATTAGAGGAGTGGGATGCATCTTAGTTGGCTTGACTGACCAAAGTACTTTGACTGTCAAAGTACTGCTTTCTATTTAATAAACACTAGTGCAAACAGATTATGCAACATAATATAACTAAATCATGTGAACACAAGTATTCATAGAATCATAGAATCATAGAATGGTTAGGTTAGGGTTGGAAGGGACCTCGAAGATCATCTAGTTCCAAACCCCCTGCCATGAGCAGGGAAACCCTCCACTACACCAGGTTGCCCAAAGCCTCATCCAACCTGGCCTTGAACACTTCCAGGGATGGGGCATCTACAACTTCTCTGGGCAACCTGTTCCACTGCCTCACCACCCTCACAGTGAAAAATTTCTTCCTTATGTCTAATCTAAATCTCCCCTCTTTCCGTTTAAATCCATTGCCCCTTGTCCTATCGCTACCCGCCCTTGAAAAAAGCCCCTCTCCAGCTTTCCTGTAGGCCCCCTTTAAGTACTGGAAGGCTGCAATAAGATCACCCCGGAGCCTTCTCTTCTCCAGGCTGAACAGCCCCAACTCTCTCAGCCTGTCTTCATTGCAGAGGTGCTCCAGTCCTCGGATCATCTTCGTGGCTCTCCTCTGGATGTGCTCCAGCAGCTCCATGTCCTTCTTGTGTTGGGGACTCCAGAGCTGAATGTGGTATTCCAGGTGGGGTCTCACGAGAGTAGAGGGACAGAATCACCTCCCTCGACCTGCTGGCCACGCTTCTTTCGATGCAGCCCAGGATACGGTCGGCTTTCTGGGCTGCCAGCGCACATTGCTGGCTCATGTTGAGCTTCTCATCCACCAGCACTCCCAAGTCCTTTTCCTCAGGGCTGCTCTCAATCCTTTCTCCACCCAGCCTGTACTTATGCTTGAGATTGCCCCAACTCATGTGCAGGACCTTGCACTTGGCCTTGTTGAACTTCATTAGCTTCTCATAGGCCCACCTCTCCAGCCTGTCAAGGTCCCTCTGGATGGCATCCCTTCTCTCCAGCGTATCCACAACACCACACAGCTTGGTGTCATCTGCAAACTTACTGAGGGTGCACTCAATCCCACTCTCCATGTCACCAGCAAAGATCTTAAATAGCACTGGCCCAGTACTGATCCCTGAAGAACATCACTCGTTACTGGCCTCCACTTGGACATTGAACTGTTGACCATAACTCTTTGAGTGCGACCATCCAGACAATTCCTTATCCACCGAGTGGTCCATCCATCAAAACCACGTCTTTCCAGTTTAGAGACAAAGATGTCATGTGGGACAGTATCAAATGTTTTGGATAAGTCCAGGTAGATGATATCAGTTGCTCTTCCCCTATCCATCAATGTCCATCAATGCTGTAATCTCATCATAGAAGGCCACCAAATTAGTCAGGCAGGATTTTCCCTTAGTGAAGCCATGTTGGCTGTCACCAATCACCTCTTTGGGGTGCAGCACTCTTTATATATATATATACAGTTGTGGGTGCAATAAATTATGTGTTCCTGTTCACCCTTTCAAACAAAAGAAAACAGTCTGCAAACTACCACACAGGAAAAAAAATCTCTCATCCAGGTTCACAATAGTTATATGGCACCACAGTTCACCACGATACACTGCAACTAAAAGTGAAGAGAAACCTAAAGTTCAAGACAGTTCACCACGATACACTGCAACTAAAAGTCATCCATAATCCCTCCTCCATCAATGTTAACATTATATAATGGGTGCATATATATACTGTTAACATTATATAATGGGTGCATATATATATATATGTGTTTTACCTAATTTTATAGTAAAATGGAAATTCAGGTTATTAAATTGTTTATAGTATCTGACATATTCATTGGTTCACTCCTTTTCATGTCCAATAAGAAACTGGAGAATCTGTCACTAGCTCTTGGATTTTGGTTTGCTCACAAGGGAAAAGAAGACGGGAATAAATCACTAAACAGAAGGTTGTATTAATCTTACAACCACCTTAAACAAGCCTCACTGAGAAGCTTACTCAGAATGTAATTTATCTCTTTTTTTTTTTTCTGAAGTTTTAAGAAAAGTGTCAGGGAATACATGGGACAGAGTCTTAAAGAAATTGAACCTCAAAAGGGGAGAAAGTGTTTTATGTTACCTCCTGGTTAGCAGCAGCTAGTTCTTCTTCCAGTGCAGAGACTCTTTCTAAAGAAACCCTCAGTCGTTCCCTTACCTAGAAGAAAAATCAAAATATGTGCAGTAACGTAATTTCTATCAATCTTTAAAGATTATATAATCTGCCATATGCACTACTGTATGCCTTGCCAGTCTGTTTGCAGGCATGTGTGTTGCAACCTTTCTTGAAACATACTGTGTAGTAAACATTTACATCTAACTATAAGAAGACGAAAATAGGTGTCAAACTTTAAATGCCATACTGCTTTTCCACAGTTTGCCTATAATTTTATGGAATTCATAACAAATGCAAATATTCTAAAACCACATTAGGCATAAAAAGAAAACATTTTTCATAAGCATCTTTTACAAAGGGTAAGGAAAAAAAATCTGCAAATGTTTCAAGTCCACTCCATGGAAGGTAACTAATCTGTTCATATCAACTGAATGCAACAAATCCATTGAAAAAAAAAACTTGCAGCATTGCCTTCAGGCACACATATTAAAGACTTTTAATATCATCATGCAGTTTATTTGGGTTTTGCAAAAAGTCATAAATAAGAAAACACTGCTGTGTTTGTACCAGTTTCACAGATGACCTATGCTGTTCCAAGGATGTTTATGATCTACTAAATTATTACTATTATATTTATTAATCAATATTATTTATTAATATTAAATCAATACTTTAATATATCTGAAGTCATATTTACTGTTGTTTGAGTGCCCTGGCTCAGCATCAGCTCATGTATCAATAGACAACCTAAGCTGGCAATGCCAGTGTCAGTCTCCCAATATGATCAAAGGCAAATCAGACTTAAAGTGATCTTCAGCGCTGTGTGTAGGTGACTGTCTTCTGACTACGAAGGGAGCCTACGGCAACTCCTCTCCTAATCTACACAACTTCATTAGGCACCTTACATTAAATGACTTTACAACCTGGCTAACAGCCAACACTCAGGATATATTTCTGTCCTCATCCCAGCTACACTGCAGTAATGCTGTTCCAGCTGATGATCCATGAATGTTTAAGACTAGTAGCAATGTTTGTAGCTAAAGTTAGCATATTCTGTTAGACCAACAGATGTAGCTGGAAAACAAAACAGAACAAAATAAATCCTTAATGTACAATGAAATGTTGTACATTTTCATGTATATACAATTGTTTTCAGATTCTCAACAAATACAGGAGACCCCTGAAAAGGATGTGTATGCCCTAATTCTTTCATACTTTTTCCAGTGATACCTCTTAGTCTAATAAATATTATCTTTCCTTACATACTTTATTTTCTATTACTACTGATAGAAGTGAAACTTTGCAAGTAGAATCTGTACATCCCAAGAATGGCTTAGACTTTAATAGATGAAAATTACATATTAGCAAAACTCTAACACAGCATGTACACAAATTTTGACTCAGTTAAACTTTAAAACTAGCTAACTCTAAAGATCAAATGTATATTCAGGAAATGAACACTAAAAAAATAAAACTATTCAGCCTTTCTAATAAATGAAAATCTAATTGCTTTTGCAATACTTTTAATTTTTGTTCCTCCCTATGTAATTCAGCCCTATCAAAAGAAACAAAATTTGAAAATGTATTTTATGCATTCACATAAATTATTTGAATGCTTTCCGATAACTCTAGTTTTGCTATATACTAAACAATGTTACTAGCTTTAACAGAACAGAAATAATGAGTGAGAGGTGCTCAAAGGAGCAAAAGAAAAGTGAGTTGAACAGTGTTAAAGAAATCTCCAAGACTAGAAAGAATCCTCAATTTTATAGTCCAATTTATTAATTTTCCTCTATTCCTTCAGCACTGTAAGACTGAAAAAAAAAATCAAGTGTTAATGTTCCCAAAGATGCATATTGTATCTTAAATGGACACTTCCTATAGAGTATGACTATGTAATCATAGCTGAGCTGAAGTAACTGACTGCCTGTTCCTCACCTGATGGCAAATGAAGTTTAAGCCATCTTAAATTCTGGCACTGACTGAGTCACCTCTGAGCGGCAGTGATAAGTGAAAATTACTTCAAATTTTCATGAGTGTTTCAACTGTTTTCTTACACCAGAACAACAGAATGCAGTGAGAATCTGCAATGGAACCCATTTTTTTTCCCTATTTCTTAAACTTTTGTACTATTTTTCATCAAAGAGTACATAAAACCCTTTAATCATAAGGCTTGCTTTCCAAAATGAGCTACATAATTTCTGGAAAACATGCTCACAAAGCTTCAGATTTATGGTAGTACATAAGCTATCATCACAGTCATTTCATATGAATTTTTTAGTATTCAATTCTAACACAAAAAATATGTAAAATTAATTTGAAATATTATATTTTGTAATTCTAATTTATTCCTATTTTCAATCTAATTATATTTTTCATAAAAATACTTCACATCAAAGGTATAATGCACTGGTTGTTCTGGCTATAGTGGAAAAACTGTAATTGTTCAAGCCCCTGAAAAAGTATTTTTTCGTTCTTTCGCCTTTACATTTTCCTATTTTTAAAATCATATCTACCTTGAAAAACATTACTATTTCACCAGTTCTTCTACCAGCTTCCAAGAGCTGCTTGATGACCTGTTTCCCTATCCAGATGGACAGAAAGTCCAAGGCACTATGAGTTCCCTATCTGGCACTCACATCTCTCTCTCTCCCCACTCCTACCATGCTCTCTGCCTTCCCAGAGCTTCCCAGTTCCTCTGTGGATCCCAAAACTCTTGTGTATCCTGCTTCTCTTCCTACTACCATTGCTATCTTTCGCTAGTTCTCCACCATAAAGTCCACGTCCGACCAGCGAGGGCTGTAGTCCTGTCTCAAGAGGCCTGATTTCAATCTCTCTAAATACGATACAAGCTGGCAAATCACAATTCCTTAACGGAAAGCTCAACCTAGATGTAAAATATACATAGAAAAAAAACTAGTAATCTTCCTGGCTTCAGTCCTTTTGGCTGTAAGCACTGCTGAGGGATACGATGATTGAGAGAAAATTCACAAGACGGTAGTTGCCAATACCTGAAATGAAATGCAATGAGTTGGTCATTTTACTTTAAATTTTCATAAGCTTCCTGAAACCACCTAAGTGTTCAAGCCTAAGTGTTTTATAAATGAGAATGCATGTTTTAAAAATATGTTATCAGATGTCTAACACTGGCCTTCACTTTGAACGGTGTCAGAATTTGCAAACCAACCAGGCCACATTACTGAGGAGGTCGCAGCTCCACAAAGAGCTGGAATCAGAAAAAATATCCTTAATCTTTATACTCTACGGCACTGTAGAATTGAATCCTACGGACATTTTAAAGCCTGAAAACACCACTGCCTGGAAATAAAAGGCATTTGTTTCGATGAGAATTTAGGAGTCACATTTTTTACATGATACTTCAGAAAAAATACATAGAGAATTAATGTCTTTATTCTGAATATTGAGTTTTTATGTTAAAATTCAGTATCTTTCATTCTCGTCCCATTGTCAGTAATAACATGGAACAGTATTAGTGGCACAGAGTGACAGCTGGAAATTGTTTCCTTTGCTTTGCCTTGCTTTTCCTTCCCTCCCTTGGATGTGCACAGTTAATGCATTGCCTTTTTTTGTAATGACCTAACCAAAATTGCACTCTGATGCCCCTTATTTGTTCTCTGAAAGTAAGAGTGGCTAAAGGAACTGAAAGCAACTCTGCCTTGGAACAGAAGACTTCTTTCTTCTTTTAATCTGACCAGTGAACAACTAATCCAGATTCATATTTGCCATGGTGACATTGGAAATGTTGCAACCAGTTCTTCATGTTCAACCACATACATAGTGGCTATTAAAGTTTAGGAAAATCTTTGATACTATCAGTGAAAAAGAGGAAAAGTGCTACATCATCACTCTGATTTGAAGGAGAAATCCGCTCTGGTTTACAGCCCAGAAATGGAAGCTTAATTTCTCACTTAAATTTCTTTCTCAGTCTTCAATTGATTTCAAAATAAACACGAGGAAGAAGAAAAAAGCTGAATAAAGTTTTCAGGTTTGGTCATTAACATTCCAGGAAATAATACAGGCTATAAATGCCATACTAACATGTGTGGTATACATATTTTCTGAAAAAGATTTTGCTCTGAGCAATATTTACCAGTTAGCAATTATATTAATGTTTTCCTGAACTCAGTAAGTTCATACTGAATAACCTTTGAATCTAACTACAAAGCAACAACCAAAGCCTCTGAAGAGCCATATACAAATGTATTGCAAAGAATTTTGTGTTGGATTCTCTCTTCAAATTTATGTTACAGCAAACAAAACAAACAGAACCATCCTAATTTCTGAGTGCCCCTGGTCATATCTTGTTAGAGACAAAGGAGCAGGAACAAATGCAAACTATTTTAATCTGGTAATTTGTTTGGGGTTTTTTTTATATGATGAATGAAAATTAATTATTAGAATATTACATTGTTTCCTCTTTTCTGGAAGTCAAAGACAGTAAGTGAGTATATATAGTTAGTAGAAGTAAGCATTATCTTAGTGAGATTGTGTTTATCACTTCAGAAATAACATACTACTTAAATTTCATACAGTTCTTCAATGCATTTCCAGTTTCTTGGGCACTAGATAAAACTGTACCAAATAATGTCTCAGAAAGTAAGCCTAATCAGATGTCACCTGATCTATCAGAACAAGCTATAACGTGCATTTTTAAAGGATAGATTCTCATTGCAGTGCCATAGCAGAAACAGGGTTGCTTTCTCCATGTTAGAGAGTGAATCCATGTGCCCAGATGACTGGGTATTCCTCTGGCTTTTAAATGCAATCATGTTATCTTGAAATATAACATATTCAATGTCATGTTAGCAATGCTGTCGGTGCAAAATATCACCCATCTTTCTCTCTCTCCTAGCAACTGCTTCCCACTTTTTTCTTTGCTGTCAAATTCTTTCTTCTATCTCTCCAGATCTGCAGCCCACAAAGGGCTTTTAAAAAACATTTGCACATGCTAGAATTGAAGCACTTTTTTTTCATGAACAGTCTATTGAATCAAAGTTATCCTAGCTACCTGTTAATGAATA